ATGACGACGACGATGATGTTGATGCTGATGCTCATGCTGATGATGCTGCCGCTGCTGATGCTGATGCTGATGTTGATGCTAATTCTGATAATGATAATGATGCTGATGATGATGACGACGATGATGAGGATTGATGATGATGAGTATGCTGATGCTGCTGCCGCTGATGATGTTGATGACGATGATACTAATAATGACAATGAGGAGGAGGAGGGCGATGCTGATGACGATGATGATGGCGATGGTGACGACGATGACGATGAGGATGGCGATGATGATAATGCTACTGATTCTTATTGCGGTGGTGTGAATGATGATAATGGTAAGGGTGATGATGATGATGATGATGACGATGCTGATGCTCACGCTAATGATGATGCCGATGATGATGCTGATGACGATCATGATGCCGATGCTTATGCTGGTGATGATGGTGATGATGATGCTGACGCTGATGCTGGTGATTATGATGATGATGCTGATTATGTTGTTGATTGTGATGCTGATTCTTATCATGTAACTGTTACTGATGATGATGATGCTGATGCTGATGCTGCCGATGACGATGACGACGACGACGACGACGACGACGACGACGACGACGACGACGACGACGACGACGATGATGATGATGATGATGATGATGATGATGATGATGATGATGATGATGATGATGATGATGCTGATGCTGATGATGATGATGATGCTGATGCTGATGCTGATGCTGATGCTGATGATGATGATGATGATGATGATGATGATGATGATGATGATGATGATGATGATGATGATGTTAATGATGATGAGGATTGATGATGATGGTGACGATGATGATGCTGATGATGCTGATGCTGGTGCTGCTGCTGATGATGACGAGAAGGTGCAGGAGTTGTGGAGGAGGAGAAGGTGGTGGAGGAGGAGGAGGAGGAGGAGGAAAGAGGAGGAGGGAGGAGGGGACGCAGGCAGCGGACGCGCCCGAGGAGCGCCGCCTGCGTTCGTGCTTGCCGTGCCTCTTCTTCGTGGCCGTTCCGGAGGCGGGTAGCCCCCGTGGGCCCGCGGGGCTCATTGGAAGGGGTGATGGAGCCCCCCTTCTCACCCTGCTGCACTCCTCCTCCTTCCTCCTGCACTCCTCCTGCACTCCTCCTGCACTCCTCCTGCACTCCTCCTGCATTCCTCCTGCACTCTCTCTGCACTCTTCCTCCTCCTCCTCCTTCCTCCTGCACTCCTCCTCCACTCCTCCTGCACTGCTCCTGCACTCCTCCTGCACTGCTCCTGCACTCCTCCTGCACTCCTGCACTCCACCTGCACTCCACCTGCACTCCTCCTGCACTCCTTCTTCCTCCTGCATTTTTCCTCCTGTACTCCTGCACTCCTTCTGCACTCCTCTTCATGCACTTCGCCTGCGCTCCTCCTGCACTCCTCTTCCTGCACTCCTCTTCCTGCACTCCGCCTTCCTCCTCCTTCCTCCTTTTTTCTCCTCCACACACATGCCGAACGCCGAAACACATGTTGCTGTCTGACGTCGGAGGTGGAGGGTGAGGTAGAAGATGATGCTCAGGTCTTCGATGATATCGATGACGCTTACGACGACGAATATGGTAGTGGTGGTGGTGGTGATGATTACGATGATGTCGATGCTGCTGCTGAGGATGCTGATGATGATGATGCTGCTGCTGATGATGATGATGATGACGATGCGTGAAGGCCCGAATGATCAAGGTCGAAGGGTTGCATGTGGGAGATGGCGTGAGTGGGTTGCTTCATGGGAGCTTTCTTCTTTAGGTTTTTTTTTTTTTTTTTTGGGGGGGGGGGGGACTCTTATCATAGTTCCATGTTGTTTTGTCTTTGTTGATTTGTTGATTTTTGGTTAGATGCTCTTTCTCTCTCTCTCTCTCCCTCTCCCTTTCTCTTCCTCCGTCACCCTCTCCCTCTGTCTCGATCTCTATCTCTACATATGTCTCGTCTGTCTGTCTGTGCCACTCATCTTCTTCTTCTTATTGTATTGTTGTTTCTCTCTCTCTCTCTCTCTTCTCTGTTGCTCTCGTTTTTTGTTGTTATCTATGTCTCTCTCTCTCTCTCGCTCTCTTTCTCTCTAGTCCTCGATCCATGAGATCGCTCCCTCCCTCCTTTCATTCTTGGCTCCCCTCCACCTACCTCTCCTCCCCTTCTCCCTTTATCTCTCACTCTGTCTTTTTTTAGTTTTCTCTCTCTCTCTCTCTCCTTCTTTCTTTCAATCTCTGTCTCTCTCCCACTCTCTCTCTCTCTCTTTCTGCGCGCGCGCGTGTGTGTGTGTGTTTGTATGTGTGTGTGTGTGTGCGTGTGTTTGTCCTCCGCTCTCCCGCGATCAACTAGGTCGACAACTCCACCCGGTGGCCGCTGTACTCCTGCTCCGAGTTGGGCGACGGCGCCATATGTCCCGAGTACTTCAACGGGACCTGCTTCGTGGCGATGCAGGGGCACACGATTGTCCACGTCGCGTCGGACGACATGAGCGAGTGGA